CGGGAAAAGCTCATAAACAAATAAATAATAAAATTGATGGTCTTGGAATGGTAATCAGGATGTCAATCAGTGTTGTCATAGTGACGAGGTAGGTCTTAGTGGATGTCAATCAGTGTTGTCATAGTGACGAGGTAGGTCTTGGTGGATGTCAATCAGTGTCGTCATAGTGACGAGGTAGGTCTTGGTGGATGTCATGTGTGACTCTATGCTTTAAACCATTACATAACTGTTGAAGAGCGGATCCAGCCAAGATTTTAAGGGGGGCGAATTGAGTTTAGGGGGCTAGTTGAGTTTAGGGGGGGCTATTTGAGTTTAGGGGAGGCTAATTGAGTTTAGGGGGGCTAGTTGAGTTTAGGGGGGGCTAATTGAGTTTAGGTGGGCTAGTTGAGTTTAGGGGGGTCAATGGAGTTTAGGGGGGCTAGTTGAGTTTAGGGGGGCTAGTTGAGTTTCTTCCGTCAACACAACGGAAAACAATGAAAAAAAGCATCTAATTGTTCTTCAGTTGTTTTTTTTTTCTGCTGAAGGGGAGCTTCAGCCCCCCTCCCCCCCAACCAGGATCCGCTCTTGCTCTTGCACAATCAAAACACGCTTCAAGAGTGCCAATATTGCCCAACATTCCCCAAATACCTTCTACATAAAAAAATTACACTATTAAGCATTAATGATTGTTAATATTATGAGCTGTAGTCATTGCTGATGGCTGATATCCTTCCAACCTTAAATAGGTATTGTCACACTGCTTTAAACCATATTTATTACAGATTTCATTGGCAAAACTGCTTTGTTTTACGCTGTCCAACAAAGTAACAACGAAAGTGTATTTCGTGCATTGATTGATGCTGGTGCTGATGTCAACAAAACTGATAATATTGGCAAAATCGCTTTGTTTTATGCTGTCCAACAAAGTAACAACGACAGTGTAGCTCATATTTTAATTTTTTTTTCCTATTTACAGTTCAGATAATAAAACAAGCCATTTTAATCTACTCAGTAATATATCATTATTCGAGATGAGGGTGACACAAATATTCATAGAACTGAAATAACGTAATAATATTTTTAATGTTTTTGTAGTAATTTTTAAAGCAATTTTGTGCCATGTCCCGGCTTATCTACCACTTTTTTCGTCATCTAACCGTCAAAGCATGTTGTGGACTCACGAGGTGATGGATAGATGACAGAAATCGTGGTAAATGAGAGGAAATACCACGGAAGATTGGAGAAAATTAGTTAAAATTCCAAAAGATGGCTAAATTTTTAAAAAGATTTCTATAACCAAAAAAATAAATCATAATTGATTGAAAATGTTTTTCGAAACTTCTATTCTTACAGCAATTACTCCCTGTACGGGGCTCTTCCGTGAGGTACCCTCCACACGCACTACAACCACATTCTATATTTACAACATACAACAGTCAACTGTTTATAAAAAAAATATACTTAAAAATATAGAATAAAAAAGAAGTGTTTGACAAAAATCTTCAACATATTGACTTTTTTAAAGTTTGGGCATGTTTTCTCATTTCAGACCATGTGTCATTCTCTTGAGAATAAGATTCTTTGTTTGAGTTGTATCCATATTCATGTGTCTTCTCATGCACAACCATCAAACAAAGGAATGATACTCTAGGGAAAGACACATTCTCTTGAGAATAAGATTCTTTGTTTGAGTTGTATCCATATTCATGTGTCTTCTCATGCACAACCATTAAACAAAGGAATGATACTCTAGGGAATGACACATTCT